TATACATTTGTATTATATATTTAGCACGTCTTGTCACTAGCACTAAAAACTTGGAGACAAAAGCCTAATCACATTAGAGGCAATTATAGTACTCAAGAATACATGAACGGCTTAAAATATTTCAATTCTATATAAATCAAGTTTGTTTTCAAAACCAAATAAAAATAAATTCATTTTTTTATGTCAAGGGTCCGAAACAATATTTATCTATTTTGATACCATCTCGAACGTCCTTGAAAATTAAACTATTTGATGGGGAACAATTTTACATATTTATTTTAATTTTTCTATTATATACTGAAATAAATTGATAATCAATTATATGTTTAAGCTTATGGTGAATTGAATAACTTAAACGTATAGAAATATAATCTTTTGTTATCAAATCAAAGTCAATAATTCAGAAGTCTCATGATATGCCACTTGTTAATTTGGCATTCTTACAGCCTGTTTGGGAGTGATTTTTTTCCCACAAAACATTAATTTTTTTAACGTTATTTTATTATTTCAGCCGTCATATTTGACTTTCTCTCTCACGAATGGACCCCACTTTTTTTCTAACGGTAAAAAAATCAATTCTCAAAATCACTCACAAATAGACTCTACACTTTGAAATGCTTTTAAATTATCTGACGTAACTTACTTTATATAAACACAAAAACTTCCCTACCAATTATTTTGATCCATAATCACCGAAGTAAAAACAAAAAATAAAAAATGCAAACTGAAAGTTAATTTATTACACAATTTATTGCTTGCTTGCCCTCAAAGACAGGAACCGAAAATACAAAGCCACGAGTTGCATTCTGAATTCTCAGATTCTTTTCAAAGTTACCTGCCCCATATCAGAAGATTCTATATTATTAGTATTTGCTATTTTTCTGCTTCAACAAGGAGTTTGAAATTTATTCAAATGGTCTATGGTTAGAAATAATCACGTGCCACAATTTTGAAACACTTTTTGACACAATATACCCTCAAAGACAGGAACCGAAAATACAAAGCCACGAGTTGCATTCTGAATTCTCAGATTCTTTTCAAAGTTACCTGCCCCATATCAGAAGATTCTATATTATTAGTATTTGCTATTTTTCTGCTTCAACAAGGAGTTTGAAATTTATTCAAATGGTCTATGGTTAGAAATAATCACGTGCCACAATTTTGAAACACTTTTTGACACAATATATGTCTTTTTTGAAAATTACATATTTATGGAAAAGTGAAGTGGTCAATGTTTTGGGTCTGTTAAGAAAATCGCACTTAGTTCCCTTAATTGGTATGTGTTTTAAGGGTTGTCAAAGAACTTATTTTTCAAGAATTCAAATGTTCACCAGACGAATTTTCAGCATCTGTTTTGGTCCCGAGAAGCAAACAAATGGATTACAATAGGGATTTCCTGAAATTACGACATGCGTGATGCATATATTAGTAGACAATGTAATAAACTAAATTGTTATGTAGAACTTGAATTTTAAGATGATGGAAACCGTCAATGTTGACATTATTAGTCAAAATATGATTTATTATAGTTGCCCATCTCCCAATCTCCACTGAACCATCATTCTAGGTGGGATGGGAGGATTGGGAGAAAGAGAGGCGGTAAAGAGAGTTATCAAGGTGGAATATGATAATACTCTAGAGACGAGACAATTGAAATAGACAAAACCAGCAAGGTGGGAGGGCGAGATACGAGGGGTGGGGGAGCAAATGAGTATGGGTGTGGTTTGGGGGTAATAATTTTTTTTTTTTTTTTAAATAATTAGCTTTGACGAAAAAATTTCTTGGTTGGATTATTATGTTTTTCTACCTTTTCTTGCTGTCCAAATAACCTTAATTTTGATTAAAAAATGGGCCACGAAAAGTATGCACCCTCTGTCCCATAAAAGACAACTCGAGGGATGTTTCGAATGAAATTTCGTGATATCCTATGACCAGTTCACTTTCCATCCTAAACCAAGTCAAATACCACTTTCTCCCTTCTCAGCCAGATTTTTACTCACTTTTACGTCCCATGCATAAGTTTCATTTTCAATTTACAAATTATTAATTAAATATAAGCATTATATAAAATTGGGAAAATTGCAGCAACGATCCCTAACTTTTTCATTTTTTACATACTTTACCATACCCTTCATTTTTGTGCTAGCGTAAGTTCCTAACCTTTCATAAATATGCACATGACATCCATCTAGACAGAAACCATCCGAAATACCGTTAGTTGACTGAAAAAATTAAGGAATCAACATTCAATAAAATCGTCCAAAACACTGTCTAAAAAGATATCAACATCCAATGAAATCGTCACGATAGCAAATAGTTCAAGGATTTTTCTAAGTCAACTGACGGTGTTTTGGACGGTTTCCGTCCCGATGGACTTCAAGTGTATATTTATGAAAGGTTAGAGGTTTTCGCTGGGGTTTTCGCTGGTACAAAATGAAGGTCAGGGTAAAGTCTACAAAAAGTGAAAAGATTAGGGACCGTTGTTGCAATTTTCCCTAAAAATTTTAATAATTTGACTAAGTAAAAATATGGACCGTCTCTACTATATGTATGTGTTGTCTCTCCTCTCTTTCTCTCTTTAACGTATTAAGAAATGAGAGAAATTTCTAATATATTCGATCCTGATTATGATAAAGAATGGCTAGACTATAATAAAGGACATATTTAATTGTTATTTTCTTCATTTGATTAGGATAGTTAGGTGCGAAAATTAATATGCACGTGAAGGGAGTTAAGAATTAGAAGATTAATCTTGTAACATGAGTAGTCCAAATTTTCAATCTTTAATACGTTAATTATTGATTTCAAATTCATATATGATGGATATTGCCATTACTACATTTCATAAGAGCATAGTCAAGAGGTTTTTTAAAAGCGAATTGCTCTCTATTTTAAATCCTCAAATGCATTCAAAATATTTGAAGAAAAATAATATAATAATTTGGAAGAAAATTGGTAAAAATAAAAGATTGGAAAAAAATAATAAATACACATTTGAAGTAACAAAATCAAATATTAAAGAAAAAGAGGTTTCTGGAATGTTTGAAATTTTCTCTCTAAATTTATATATGCTTTCTAAATTGTAAAATATTCTATTTAAAAATAGAGAGTATTTTGAAAGTACTCTAAGATGGGACTTATTTAAGAGCGCTAATCTTGAATTCGTTTGTTCATTTGAACTTTATACTGATAGTTTGAATACAAAATACATCTTTTATTCATTTGCTTCTTTAGGGCACTTAAGTGAGACAATATGATACTTTTGTGTACAATCATGATACGGTTTTATATTTGTTTAAAAAAGAAAAAAAATTGCTTATAACATTTTTTTGCAAAGAAATTTACAATCATGCTATATGAACATTAAGGTTGACATAAAGTTTCACATAATGCCAAGTGACATTCTATTATTGGTCAATTTAAAATACAATCAGTTTTTCCATTCAATCATCTACTGACACATAAAATTATGTCAAGTTTTCTGTCAAATTCTTCTGACAAAGTAGCTTTATCCAAAATTTTATATTTATTCACGAAGATAGAATAAAAGGTGAAATAAATAATGGAAAATTACTTGGAAGGCCTGAAGTAGCTAGCAGAAAATATAAAACTTCTAATCCCCAAACCATATAAATATTGTTGATATTAATGATTCAGAAAAAAAAAATTATATTTGGATAATTTAATTATTAAATTAAAACATATTAAAAGGTAATAATCAAAGTCACAATTAATATGGCTATATAGCTGTTGTGAGTGTAGTTATTCAATAGTCGTATCTTTAATTCTTTATTCAGTTAATTAATAAACTCAAAAGTTCCACGTTAATTTGTATGACTGAAGAGAGACTTTGATTCTTCAGCTGAATTCAATTTTTCAAAAAAGTGTATATATCGGAATAGTGCTCCAAAAATAGAAAACTTCGCTTGATTTTGATGAATATTACTTATTTTTGACAAATGTCAATAAAATTTTGCATTCTATTTTGGAATGATCAAATGATAGATCCAATTAGAAATGGAAAGAAAATAATAAATTTGAAAATAAAAACTAAATCAAAATGATTACAAACTAGACTTTCATCACTTATTTTTTAATTATATGTTTAATTTATTGTTACACCTGTAAAAGATTCAAAGAATCTAGCTTCTCAACAATTATAATTACCCAATTCTCTACTATACTATGTCGACAACAACAATTACCCAATTCTCTACTATGTTGCTTTTTGCGGAGAAAAAGAGGCTAGATTTACAAATTTTTAAAGAAGAAATGAGATAAACCTTGTTGATCTTTTTGTTTAATCTTAGAAATACGAACATTTTAGTCCCAACATTTATTTCAATATAGTTGAATTCGTTAAATTCTTGTATTCAAAGAATCTAGCTTCTCAACAATATAATTATAATTACCCAATTCTCTACTATGTTGCTTTTTGTGGAGAAAAAGAGGCTAGATTTACGAATTTTTAAAGAAGAAATGAGATAAACCTTATTGATCTTTTTGTTTAATCTTAGAAATATGAACATTTTAGTCCCAACATTTATTTCAATATAGTTGAATTCGTTAAATTCTTGTTCATATTAAAATTGAATTCCCCTTCTTGTGCCCATCCGAAAAGATCATTCTTAAGACAAAAACAAAATACTATATGATCCAACAAGTCTCAATTGGGCAGTATTAAAATGAAAACAAAGCATAAAATCTTACATATGATCTTATGTGATACTAATAGAAGGTGGATATTTATATTTGAATATAAAATTAATTATTAATAAACGTGTTTGAAGGGTTGAACACTGTCGAATACGCCTTGAGAGTCAAATCATTCAAATCGTTTTACTCTTTTCCTCTGTCTTTTCAAAACAAATACCAGGTTTGATCCTGAAGTCCAATATTCTGAATTTTATAGACTTCATTCTATTCAAAAATCAAACATAAATTGGTCTGAATCTATGCAAATCTCACCTTATAAATACTCCATGTAGTATATACGTCCGACCTTGAACTAATCAAATCAAATAAATTTTAAAAAAAAAAAAAAGAAAGAAAGAAAATCTGTGTCTCAACGACATGCAACGTTCATCCACAGCTCGATACGTATGCAAGCAGATCCTTCGCAACCAAACTCAAATCAAAACAAACCTTCATCAGCGGCCACCGTGTGATGTGTTCATCAACCACCGGGGAATTGACACAAAAAGAAATGTTGCCGGGCTGCTTTACAATCACCTCCGGTGGCTCGGCTTCAGGCCTTTCTTGGACAGCAAAAACATGAAACCTGGGGACAAATTGTTCGATAATATTAACGTGGCAATACATAAATGTAAGGTTGGGGTTGCTGTGTTTTCTCCCCAATATTGTAACTCTTATTTTTGTCTGCATGAATTGGCCCTTATGATGGAGTGCAAGAAGAAGGTTATACCAATTTTTTGTGACGTAAAACCTTCTGAACTTCGGGTTAAAGATGATGGAATTTGTCCAACTGAGGATTTGGACAAGTTTCATCTAGCCCTTGAAGAGGCAAAGCACACCGTCGGATTAACATTCGATACTTTGAGAGGGTAAGTTCTGCACTTTACTCGTAAATAAATTTTCTAATCGAGTAGTACGTAACTTTTACATCTTCTTGATCACAACCAATTCACTAATAATATGTTTGGTGAGCAGTATCAGATAGGTTTCGACAGTCTTTAATATTGTCAAATCTTGTCGAATAGTGCTTCTAGATATGCCCTAAGAATCTAACATCAAGATTTTATGCACATTTTTGTATTATATTTCAATATATTTACACTCTAATTTGATAATATGAATGCAGGGATTGGCCGGAATTTCTTGACAGTGCTTCGGATGCAGTCATCAAGAATTTGCTTGAATTAGAGAAGGAGAAATATTTATTGAAGAATAAGAACAAGAAAAATTATTATAATTCGGTCTAATTTTATTTATTTTCTTTCTAACACATTCATTATTCTTTCATGAATATATTTTCAATATTCAAGATCCATGTCATAGTCAATTTAAATTGTTTATTTTGGACTGTATTTACAACGTTGAATTATTCAAGAAAATCAAAATCTCTCTCTCTCTCTCTCTCTCTCTCTCTCTCTCTCTCTCCCGCGTCAATGAGACGAGACCAAGAAAGTTGGATTCTCAGCTACAATAGAATTCTGTTGGCAATTATTTAAATTTTGTGACCAGTAACTAATTCTTAGTACTTTTTTGCATGCAAACTTTTTTTTTTACCGCATGTTCATGAATTCCTATTCTTAACATTTTTTGGTTAAGTCAGATTTTCTGATGAGATTTATATCATTATCAGGAGCTTGTAACATCGTGTCAACATTTTGTATTCTATTCATATGATTATGCATTTCTCCATATATTTTTGTCAATCGTGTTTGTGATTGATGTATGATATTTTTGCAACAACTAAACCTGCTTTTTTTTTTCTTTTTTTTTTATCGATAAACGTAAATATCATTGATCAAAATATCATGTACAAGCTAAGTACATCAGGCATACCAAGGCAAAATAAAACAATGTTGCATTACTTTGGTCAAGTTATATAAAACATTAGCCAACATTAGCATTGCCACTTGATTACTGGTCGTGTTGGCTTGTGCAGCACATTTTCCTAAGGAACAAGCCTATTCGAACCCTAATACCTCACTCAGGATAGAGTGGGACTTTTCTGATTAGTATTGTGCTACTATTGCTCTCTGACAGTTGAGTTACTTTATGCCGCCGACTATGAAAAGGCGACATACACAGTCACCAAACTAAGATAATACTTTGTTAGTAAATAGTAACGAATTTATCTGATGTTAACTCAGCTACTAGAAAATATCTATCTTTCTCCCATATAAACTCATATCCCATTTCAGAATGGATTAAGTATTATCCAGAGAGGGGAAAAATAGGAACAACAGAAGCAATTCTATTATTTGTCCGAGGTGGTCAGGCCATCATTTCTAACGCTGCACCAAAATTTACACTATTTTGCACCAAATTTTGCATAAATTTAAAATTCATCTTCAACCATTATACCAAAACTTACACCAAATGAATTAATATTGTTTTATTATTTTATTCATTTTTTTGGTTTTTGACAATGTATTTATTTAAAAAATGTATTTATTTTATAACTATATAAATTATTAAATCATAATTACGTTAAATTAACAAATATATTGAATTATTATTGATTATCAAGTTATTCACATGTTTTATGTATTATGTTAAATTGACACAAATAATTGATTACATTATTAATTTATTACAAACAATTACGTCAAATTTACGAAAATAATTTCTAATTAAAAAATTCTTAGTTATTATTGATTATATTATTAAAAATAATAGACTTAATAATATAATTAATTATTATTATTATAGAGCGAAAATGACACAAATATCCTTAACCATTATTTTTGAAAAATGAAAAAGAGGTAAAATGAACATTACACCATTTGGTGAAAAAAATGTTGCAATGAACAGTGTTACATCAAATATAGTGCAACACTGTTCATGTTGCACCATTTTGGTGCAAAATGGTGCACCAGTTGGAGAGCCTTTTGCATCAGATTTTGGCGCAATTTGGTGCAAAAGGGATTCCATTGGAGATGGCCTCTGAGCCTCAGAGCCATCTTGCTCTATTGATATTGTTCTCTGCGACATTCACAGTTTGACAAAAGTTTTACTCAAGGAGTACTTATGCCATCTAAAAACAGTTCTCATAATTTGTATGGATTTGTGTGCATAAAAGAAGAAATCTATCTACCTGTAAACCCATATCTAATTAAGTCCGGTACCAATGAGCTTCTTTTTGTATATGGGAAGAACCGACGGCCTAAAACTGGACCAGATATATAGGTTTTCATGCAGCATTTAGATTATGATTGTTACGAAAAAAGAATAATAATCCATGTAAAAACTTAAATTAATTATTAGAACTTAATCTTTAATAGTTTCTAATAAAATTAAAGTCAAGTCTATGAATTCATTCTCATCAAGTATGTCACGATTAACTAGAGAAATCATCTACTTGCATATGGTCTAGTTCTTGAGGCACCAACGTGAAGAACCTTTTTGAACATCAAATCTATTAGACAAAATTAAAAATCATTTCTTGAAGTTAATCTAATTATTTTAATATCATACTAAGAATTTTGCAGCAGCATCTCAAATCTATGACATTTCTAGCAAGTTTGGCCCAACTTTCAGCTTGTTAGATGAGTTGCTGACTGAACAAAAGATGACTTCTTTTCTTCATCAGATGGAATTCTATAAAGACTACATATCTCTTCATACTGTCGAATCAATTCGTCCACAGCCTGGCTAAAATCCTTATTGCTCCACGGATCTTCGCTGTAAACGTCCCAGGACCAGGGGCGGACCCACATGGGGTCATGTGGGGTCAAATGACCCCACAAAATTTTGCCCCGTTTTTTTTCTACTTTGATGCACTCGTCGGGATGTCAAATGAAGTCAAAATATTGCATTCTTAATATCATTTCGAAGTGCTCATGACCTAATTTTTCACTCATTAATGGCATGCGAAGTGGTCAAATATAGGAAAAGTTATGACATGTTAAAGTAGGGCGTTTGAAACTAGTATTTTGAGAATTTCGATAAGATCCTAACTTTAAAAATTCGTTTGCGATCATGTGCCATCTGAATCTACAGATCATCTATGCCATGTAAAAGTTTGTTTCGAAAACTACATCGTTTTCATATCGAATTGTCCAAACGGATATCGAAAATAGTTAAATATGTATCAAACGTACGCATCAAAAAAGACATCTAACTCTTTTTTTTTGTTTTAAAAAATTCAATTAATTATTATTTTTGCACGATAAATTTTTCAATATAATTTATATCGTTTCATTCAGAAGTCTTACATGAAATATGACGTAAATTTTTTAGAGTCGTTACGGATTAAATGCAATTTGAATTACTTTCGGATTATATTTGCTTTAAATTTAAATTTCATTTACTTCTGAACTAAACTTGAATTTTATTTCAATTCATTTAATTTCTATATTCAAATTAATTTACTCAATATTAGCTCAGCATTTGCTAATGAAATGATGAACAAAACCATACAAGTAACAAAATTTATTTAATAATATTAATAATGATGTAATTATACGATGTTTTCAAAGTGTCAAAATATATAAAAACTTATTTTCATTGATATTATGTTGTTTATTAAAAAAATTATGTTTAAAATTTTGACCCCACAATACTAAAGGTTTGGGTCCGCACCTGCCCAGGACTCTTTGATTGTTTTGTAGATTTCATCAGAAACTATAGCATGGCTCCACGCATAATCCACCATTCCTTTCCAATCCTTGGCGTCGCATGTTTCAGGATTGCCCAGCTGCGATAAAGAAATCCGTTCAGTTTGAACTTTGTGTCTGTGATCATTTGCTCCATTTAAAATCTTGACAATAACCTTGGAATTCAATCTTTAAATTAAATGGGAAGAGAATTACGCAAAAATGCCTAAAAGATCTATGAATAATGAGGAATCTTTTTTCTTGTCATGAATGAGCTCAGCCTGCTCGGGAACTTATATATTTCCTATTCGAAAGCATTGAGTGTACATAGGAGCATGAATATTCTCTATCTGCCAAGTGCCACCAATCAGGAAACGATTACAGCACATGCGATAATATACCTGCATGACTCTCCCCAGCAATATAATATTTTCACGTCCTGTATGCAGGGGCGAATCCAGAATGTTGAGCCAGCACAGGCGGCCATAATAAAATATTATGAGCTCGTTTGACGTCATTTTTTGCAAAAAAATGCATTTTGGAATAGTGATTTGATGGAGANTATTGGACCATGTGGTCGTATGGCGCATAACAGGGGCTAAAGGCCCCAGTTTGTCATGAACTATGCGGTCGCATAGGGACACCCTGAGGGTGGTTTTAATTCAAATTTTTGCAGCTTTTCACTTCCTTTTGGCACCATTTCGTGTAGCAATGTTTCATGGTTATAAATATAGTTTGATGATCATCACAAACACATTAAAATCATAGTGCAATCTATGAATTTTAACTTCATTCCACAAGAAAGAAAATTCTTTTCTTCTTCCATATTCATACATTCTCTATGTGTTCTTTAAGTTCGAGTAAAAAAAATATTTGTGATTTTGTGTTTATCTACAACAAGGCTTGATTAATCCTACAAACCGTTCGTCGCGATACCATTTAAAAACCAAAATCATATTCGAGAGGGGACAAATATCGTTTGAGGAAAGCGAGATTATTTTCGTGTTTGAGCTTTCATATTGATTTTGATCTTCTCGTTCATTTTCATCTTCTTAGATTTCCATTTTCCTGGTTTCTTCTCCAAACCTCGGCGTTGATAAAATTCCCTACAATCTAAACGATATTTTTGTGTGGGAAAATGAAACCTCTATGGCGACAATCAAGTTGATAGATCGAGACTTTGTTGATGGCACTAACTTCAAGAGATTGTTCGACTTGTAGAAAGACATGAATCTAGATTCCCGAATTCGGATTTGGTAAATTATCATTTTGCCTCTCCAAATTCAATAAGTCGAAATAGCATTTCAATTTCACGCATGCATGCGGTATGTTTTGTGAATATAATGTATGCACATTATCAGCGTAATATCCCCAACAATCTTAAGATGAAGTTCTTTGTTGTGCATAAAATGCTCTGTTAGAAATTGAGATACATACATATATCACATATTGAAATTTTTGCATTATGAAGCACACATGAAATTGAATTGAATAAGTGTTGAATCTGGTTCATATAACAACAAAGTCAGATTGTTAATTATATCTCTGCATTAACTTATGATCGTCGACAATGGCATTTCTTAAAGTCATGCGTATTTGAACTCACAAATTCACGTTTTGATCCATATTTGCAAATCTATGTAAATTACTTTCCATTCGTATTACGGTATGATGTCACCTTTGATATAGGGACTGCATTGAAATTGCTAGGATTAGATAATAAGTGTTTACGAAATTATTTGTTTCGAATTAAAACTCGCTACAAGTGTACGGTTCATTAACAAGTAGTAAAATGGATTATGAGTGCAAGTATCGATCCCACAAGGATTGAATTAGTTCAAATCACCCTATTATGACATTAACCAAACTATGAAAGTAAAATTGATGTATTGTGATTTAACTAAGGAAGATGTGAACTCTGATACAATTATGAATGAGAGAATTATATTAAATGCAAAATGACTTGAACACAATCTACGAGAATTTATGGAATTAATGAATTTACTAACGCACTAAGATCACGAATTCCCAAGCAATACCCGTTCAATTTTCAATCATGCAATTTGACATACAGTCCCACAAAAGATGAATCAATATTCCTATTTTAATTTAGTAATCTCTCTCGAACAATGTCAAACCTACCCCAATATGTGATTCGACTATATCTCTATGACGAATACTAACATACAGGAATGTATTATGATTTCATGAATATTCTGTTATTCACACAAGGCATGGAAGTATATTTCTATCCCCTATCAGATCCTATGATGATTTATACTATGCCGAACCTATTTTTCTTCTTTCAAATGCATAAAACAGGCCAGCAAAATCATATAATTACTTGCACAATAATAATATGGAAATCAAAACGTAATAAATCATTCAATTCCGGAACATGCGTTTCAAAATGTCAAATATCCAAATCAAAAATCAAACGTAGTATTGCAAGGTTCATCGATCTCCTAGCAATGAAAAATCTAGCCTAACATGCTAAAAAGAAGAAA